GCAGTGATCGCCTACCTGAGGTTCTCCATTGGCTTTGGTCTTCACTACACGATTGAGGTGCCGAAGGACTCCGATCCTGATTTACAACGATCCCGTCCAAGACATGCTGGCACTGTTGAGGTGTTGGTTGATGCCTCGTTCTCACCAGGAGACAGCCATAGCATCTCGGGCACCATCATTCTCTTTGCGGGGTGTCCGGTGCAGTGGGAAAGCAGGAAGCAATCTTTGATGGCTTTATCAACGGCGGAGGCGGAGCTCACGGCATTGGTTGAGGGCCTACAGACAGGAAGGTCCGTCCAAGCTCTGATCAAGTTGCTGGTCCCCAGTGTCGACATCGAGCTGTACAACGACAATCGTGCAGCGGTGGTGCTGGCGTCAGGATCCGGAGGCGGCTGGAGGACACGCCATCTACGAATCCGGGCTCGATGCATTGCTGAAGCTTTGGCACGTGGGGAGGCAACTTTGAGCCACAGATGTGGTTCCCTCTTGTGGGCAGATGCTTTGACGAAGCCGCTCCCAACGCAGTCATTGAACAGATTCTGTGAGGGCGTTTGGCTGGGCTGTTCATCCATGAAGGCAGATGATCAGGGGGGACCTTGTGAAGTACATGTCCTTGGATCGGCGACCAATGTAAAAGTGTTGAAGTCGATTTCGCTGTTGGCCGTGGGTGCTGCCTTGCTTCCGACTACGCAGGCTGCGGAGACTTGTGAGATAAAGGAGACCAGGGGGGAAGATGCTGCTAGTTCCTGGGCAGACCAAGGATGGGTGTTGCTGCTAGCGGGGCTCGTGTGCCTTCTGCACATCATCAAGGACGTAGGCTGGGAGATGGCAAAGCGTCTTTGTGGTCGAAAGGATCAGTTGAAAGTCAAGCTGCTGAGTGAGCAAGCCTCACTTCCTTCGAGGATGTCGACTAATGCCGCTGGCTGGGATGTGTCTGCTGCGTCCTCGGTCGAGATTGCTCCAGGTGATCGAAAGCTCATCCCGTTGGGTCTGGCGTTTGAGATGCCGGATGGTTGCTATGGGAGACTTGCGCCAAGGAGTTCATTGGCTTTGAGGGGGGTGGATGTTGCCGGTGGCGTGATCGACTCCGACTACCGGGGAGAAGTGAAGGTCATTGCGGTCAATAATGGTCCAGAGGTGCTCAAGATTGATCAGGGTGATCGAATTGCCCAGCTCGTCTTGGAGAAGTATGCCAAGGTTGACCTCTCAGCCACGAGTTCGTTGACATGGACCCAGCGTGGAGAGAGTGGCTTCGGAAGCTCTGGATTAGCCGTGAGGCGTCTGTCTGGAGCTCAGAGTGAATCCTCAGGTCAAGTGGCATCAGACACCTATGACGGCGGTGAAGGGCAAAGGGAGACTCCCAATGATGGTGAACCGACCCACGTGTTCTTCGACGGTGTCTTTTTCGCTGAAGCTGGTGAGTCAATGGTGGATTTCGTCCAGAGGTTAAAGCGAAATGAGCTGTATGATTTTCGTTGGATGTTCCCGGAAGTTCTTTTTGAGCATTTTCATCCTGATCGTCTCCATGGGTCTTCGAGGACCTATCTCCAGCAGGTGGGACAGGGCACGATGCGCTTCCAGACCCATAAACATCCCCAGTGGAGGAAGAAACTCTACGACTCGGAAGTGTCAGCCCCAACACCGGAGAGTGGAATCACGGCTGGAGTGGTGTCCTTGGGATGGAGAGAAGATGGAGTGATGTTCGCAAGAGTGGACAACCGAAGGGGCAGCAGATCCATGTGCTACCTCAAGCAGCCTTGGAAGGGGGTGAGCCTCTTCTACTCGTGGGACAAGCCGTCCAGGAGAACCTGAAAAGAAGCCAGGAGAATGCGGAGGGCATGGGTGACTTGCTGAGAGGGCCTTGTTTTTTGTTTGATAGTTGGTGACTTTTCGTGCGGTCACGTTCATTCGAAGGGGAATGTTCATGTGGCTGTGTATGCTGGTGAATTTTGGTTTGAAGCCACCTTGGCCTAGCGTCACGCATTTGGACCCAAAGCAAAGGGCTTGAGTCTGGCTTTCTTTTGAAGAAGTGGTTCGCGCCTTTAGCCTGAGAATGTCAGGAGGGGGGAGCATCGCGACCACATGTGTTTGCAGTTGGCTGTTCATGAAGGTTGAACACGCTTGAAACCTTACCTTTCATGGAGCCCTTTTGTGCTTAGAAGAAAGAAGAGCGATTTTGCTTGAGTAGTAACGACATGGCTACAGTGGATGTTTGAAGTTTGTTTGTCGAAGCTATGGGGGCACATTGGTTTTTGAGGTCAAAAGCTTGATCGTGCTTGGTCTGGCACACCGGCTCTTGAGCTACAACTGTGCGCACCCTGTTGGTACCATAATCAATGGACCTATTTTCGCGTAGGCCCCGCGTAGGCGCTCGCGGAAGCAGCGCGTAGGCAAGAAGCTATTGGCTGCTGCTACTGCTTGGCTGCTGCTTTTGCTGCTGCTTTTGCTGCTGCTTGGCTGCTGCTGCTGCTGCTGCTGCCTCTTGTTTTCTGCTTGTTGTGCGCTGTTTATGTGCTGCTGCTTCCACACTGTAATTGGATCGGCTTGATACAAAATCTATCTGGCCATCGGTAGCAAAGCTGTAAACGCCTTGTAAACAGGAACCTGCTGTGACCCGGTCGCATCGGGCCACTACTTGCGGATTATATAGCTCTTTTCGAGTCACCTGATGTGACTAAAGTTGGTGACAGCACCCTGCGTAGGCATCCCGCGTAGGCACCTAACAAAGAGAACCTCTCGCGTAGGCATTTGCTTGAGAGGGGAGCCCAGGCGTAGGCACCCGCGTAGGTACAGACCCAGTGTATAAGCCCCACACCACAAAAAAAACACAACTCACGTGGCCCCGAGGCGTGAACAGGCCAAGCTGCGAGCTGCCAGAGCTGCGAATTTCCAGCAGCGACGCAACAAGTGGGCAGCGCAGCATCGTGGCAAGCTTGGGTACATGAGAGTTTTCATAAGATTTCTCAGGATAGATCATATATCGATCTATCATGATCTGTCCTTTTCCTACAACTTTTGAGGTGCACATATTTCCGGAGTCAGCTACGACATGCAGGCCTTGAAATGTTGTTCGATTTCTGTGAGGGTTCTTGTTTTATTCAAAGGTTAAAGAAGACATTCAAAGATTTCAACATTTTTGTTTGCATTTTAGATATTTTTTTTAATGTTTTGTCAAGGTTGAAGCTTTGGAGCTTCGCCGGTGGCTGCGGCTGCTGCAGCAGTCAAGGCTACAAGAAGCGCGGCCGGTCCGATCAGAGAGGCCGAAAGAAGAGTGGCTCGGTGATGTGAAGAAATTTCAAGCCGTTCAGGAAACATTCAGGTTAGTTCACAGATGTTCACATTCGTTCACAAGTTGTCACAAGTTGCTCACGCTGTTTGATCACACGATTTGCTTGTCGTGTGTCGTTCTTTGCTTCGTGATGTATTCATGTGACATTTGTGCTAGTCATCAATGGAACTTTGACTCAATTTGGGGTTCACCTATCCTCATGCCAATTTCCACTACCACACGCCACACGCGGGAGCCTTGAAACCACAACAAAGCAGAAAGAAAGCCATGATCATTACGTATCTTGTTGGGGGTGTCCTCATATTACCTGTAGCCTGTAACAGCCAGTAAACAATTATCACTGTTTTGGAGAAAGGCTTTACTCACCATCATCATCCACTGTTACAGGGATTGGGATACACCCCACAGTTTAATGAAGTGCTGGGCTTTTGCACCACTGAGCTTCCTGGAATTCATTTAGTAGTCGAGTAGTGGTGTGTCCGATCGATGTTCTCGGATGTCTTGGACCCGGGAAATCCGCAGTCAAGTTTTTGGCGTGGCAGAAGAGGTTGGCCCACCGAAACTAGTTAGAAGAGGTTGGCAGCAATGTGTACGCAATCGATGGTTTGACCTTTTCAATGCCTGTTCATGCTTTGATACTGTGTTACCTTGGTGCATTTTGCGGCCCTTGTACCTTTGCTCAGTGGTGCCAAGGCCGCCGCCTAAGAAGGCTCGTGTACTGCAAGGGCGTGCAAGTTCGCGGCGTTAAAGCAAGGTGCCCATTGAAGTTTTTGCGAAGCTGTGCCCAAGTCTTGAAGTGCAATGATTTTTCTTTTTTGACTTCCTTGCCAATTTGTTTTGCATCGAGCAATCTCTTGATCAGCTTGGATGCAACGGGTGATGAGTCACGCACTGTCTTCTGCCTACTGGTCCTGTCGTCCGACGTAGGCCCGATCTGGACCCCAATCTCGAGAATTGCAGCGCTTACAGCGATACCATCTGACCAAACGCAGCTTCTTACAACCAAACCGGAAGCCCTCGCTCAAAGAGCGAGATGAAGCCACAGGGGCTCTTGGCGGTCCCGTGTTGCATCGTGATGCAGTGGAAAACATTTACTTGAGTTGACCTGTGCATGATTGTCATTGCACAATCATGCCTTGCCTTGGGGTCTTGTTTCTGTGGACAAAAACGATTTGATGTGATACCCACCACCGAGAAAGATACTCATCGCATTATGCTGTTGACGTTTGTTGACATGTCTTTTCTTTCTTGATTGGGAAAGATCATTAGCCCCTTGTGTTGGGCTACAGGAGGCTTGAGTGATCTAAATCTATATAATCCAACTGAAGCCACGATGAGGAACGCTTTGAGATGCAAGGGTATTGTCCAGCCCAGGTCAACGTACGAGGCTGTCCCAGACAAGCATGCACAACCATCTTTGGATATCCAACCAGAGGAAGCGGTTTTGATGGATTGAACTTTCTTTGTTCCATTGACAGTCTTCCAGTTGAAATGCAACTTATTGAGTTCATTCTTACTTCTCGTGAGGAGGTAGCGCCGAAAGCTCGCCCGCCTGAGAGTTAGAAGGTTTGAGATTGGAGGTATTGGAGACCAGATCCCCCCTAATAAAGGTGATGACCTGATGATGGATGATGGTTTCGTGAACGCTGAGCTTGAAAACCTTAAGATTTTGATAGAGTGTTAATAGGGGACAATGAAATAATTTTCTGGAGAGGTTTTTTGGGATTGTGGAACAAAGATTGCTTGGCAAAACATCGGCAGCTTAGATTGCAGCTTCAAGCAACATACTAATGAACTATTTACTGTATTACTTTCTGTGGGCAGATGGTCTTTTTGGTGGATGCTTTTCCACTGAGGCCAGATGCCGAAGATCCGGGCCCAGAGCAAGCTGTGCTCCCCAACGAAGCGTCACAGTTCAGCTCTTTGGAGCCACATGAAGATCATGGAGCGGCCCCAGCATCTCCAGAGACTCCATCTCCGTCCTCTCCCGTCTTTGCTGTCATTGAGGTGCGATACTTACTTGTCCCCGGATACTTCAGCTCTCCACTTCTTTTCTTTCTCCATCTCCAGTCATTTTGTCTTGCTGACAGGACTCGCCAAAACGGAGACCTGGACCCACTATGTCGCTTGGACGATATATAGATGATATAGTCAGGTGGATTATGGTAGATTCAGGTATATGATTATTACAATCCAGCTGCACACGTAGAAAGAGTCTCAGAGGCTCGAAAGTGGTTGTCTTGAGTTTTCTTTTTTAAAGTTATATAGTAAGTTTGATTGAAAGGGCTCCATTAAATGGCGAGAGGCCGAAGGCTTTTGTACATGTTCGCAGTATTTCGCAGGCCTCAGGCAATCTGAGTTGATGTCTTGGTTCGCCTAGGTCGGACGACTGCAGCTGGTATGTGCTAGGCGGAGTGCAATCATCAAAGATTCAACTAATAGGTCAAACAATGCCAACATCTTAAACATACTGGTTAAAACAGTTGCTATCATTTCCGATCCTTGCTGGATTAGCACCAGTTGACCACACCTTCACAGCGTTGTTGGCCACAAAACCCAGCGCAATAATCACATTCAGTTCAATCCCCATGACGAAACTTGATTTGTGGACTCAGACTTGGTCTACGGCTTTATGACGTGCTTGACAGGAGGAGAGGAGCCACCTCTTCGGGCTTCTGACGGAGTTTCTTGGCACCAGAGAGCCCGAGCTGGGCCAAGTGCCACTAGGCTCTGCGTGTCAATTGGCACTTGTCCTACTTGTGGTGTTGCCCAGCCCGGCATTTGTGTGCGACATTTGTTGAATATGATGAGCACTTGTTCTGTTGTTTGCCCATCAAGGCACTTCTGCTGGCCGAAACCCGCTTGCGGCCATGAGCTCCAGCTGCGCTTTTTCACCTTTTGAAATCACGCCCTCCCTGGTGTTTACTTGCGCATCAGATTGTGTCGAGGATACACCACCCCATAGCAGCATGCCATAGCCACAGCTGAAGAAATCCTGGTTGTTCCTTTCTTTTGAGGCAAGGACAACGCAAATTGGTGGCATTGTGTTTGACAGCTTGGAGAGAAGGCTCCTGTTTGCATCTTTACCATTTACATCGGCAACATTCAGCCCTTTGGACCATCACCATCCCCGGTGCAGATCTCATTTTGGAAACATTGCTAGACATTGTTCATTGTTTGTCAAGTCAATGTGGTTGACTTGCCAACATGCAGGCCTTGGCTTTGCTACATGCACTTCCTTATGGGAAGATGACGAGGCGCGTTTCTTGGAGCGAGTGCAACCAATACCTCAGCTCTAGCTAGTCAGGAAGACATGCAACGCTGGCACTTGCGTGGCCTTGCCACAAGCTCAGCAACAGTTGCCATAGTTGCCAACATGTATACTTAGTCAAAGACGAGGGCCTGAACATGAGGAGCTGCGGCTGGAAGAGAGCCAAAGCCTACGTGAGAAGGACCTTTCCCTCCCTTTTTATATTTGCTCTCCAAGAGCATATGAGTCTGCAAGCAGCAAAATCTTTTGGGTCGGGCTCTTCAGGAGCAGAAAGAAAGTGCCAAGGCAGAAGCGACCCTCAAGGCATCTTCTTCATGTCACACAAATATTCTTGTCACTTTATAGTCAATATAAGTTTCCCTAAACATCTGGAAACCAAATTAGTGCGAGCGCTTCTTCAAGGAATCTCCCCCCCGCTCGAGCTTCCTTGAAGAAGTGTGAGCTATCCTGCGTCCTACCTAGGAGCGTCCTGTACCTACTAGCTACCTCAGTTTCTTAATTAAGTAGGCGCCTACTGACTGGGGGGGAGCCCAAAAAAGAACAAGTGCTGCTCATCGTGGCATTGTCGGCTTTGAAGGAGCGCCTGAACAGTGAGTTCCAAGCAGAGCTTCAGTCCCAGGCCCGTTGGATCCGGTCTCATTGTGCTCACACGTCTTCGAGAACCGCCGGGGGATGCCGGCGGATGAAACTGCCATGTGTCAGTCCTGGTAGCTGATTTGGCTCGAGCCTGATCTACTGTACAAACCATGACTGGACTTAACATAGCCACGGCATGCCACGGCAACATAAACCATCCAATAGCTACCTACCACCGCTCATGACTCATGACTCATGTTTTTTCAACCACACAGATGTCACAGAAAGGAAAACATCATCGCAGAATAGATGTTTCTGGATGACGCCCGCACCTAGCAACATGCACTCTTTTTTGGGGTTTGCCAAAGCCATTTCCAAAGAGTTGTCATGTCCAAAACCATGTGATCTGTTGGTGTTTCCCCGACAAACTCTTGTGAGATCTGTTGATAGGTTTCCAGAGCCTTTTAGTCGTCCATGTCCGACAGCAGCAGAGAGGAGATTTGTGCTTGACTCAGCCTTCACGGGCTTTGTGCAGAGTTTGCTTTGAGCTTGCAGGGAAGTGCTGGTGTGTGTAGGTGTCTCTTCTGAGCAACCTGATGGATTCATTTTGGATCACAAGGGACAAACAGTTCAACGACCTTTCTGCACTGTAGTGATTTCAAGAACGAGGTGCACAGCTGCGGCAAGCGCTCGAGCTGCGGCAAAAGTATTGTGATGCGCCCAAGAAGCAGCTGGGCTCTCAGTGAGAAATGCAGAGAACACTTAGGACAATTACACAAACACTTCTTTCTTTGTCAAAGACATATGAGGAGTGATCCCGGAGCATGACACAAGAACAAACTGCTTTTAAACGACATGTTCACCTGCTGTGCAATTGTTTGTCCCGGGACTTTTGCGCAGATTGTTCACGTAGCTGTTCCATTTCAGATCCAGGACATACTTTCCTGACACTGCCAAAGTGGAACTGTGCTGGAAAGATGGCCTCATGCAAGTACGATGCTTGATTGAAGCTGTGCGAAGCAGCGAGACTGAGACTGCTTTGGTAACTAAAGGGATCGATTCCCAGGAGGTCAATCTATCATAGACCCTTGTTTTTAGCCCGCTCCTAATTCAATAAGTAGGCGCCTACTTGATTGAGTAAGGGAGTAAGCTCCTAGCTACTTCAGCTGCTAGCTCATGCTAATAATTTGGTTCCTAGGATTTTTGGAAACTGTGCAGAGTGGGACATCTATCAATGCTTTTGTTTGGACTTCGAGCTGGCAAACATCACAGGCAGACAGCTATTGTGTTAGTGCACATAATTGATGTAGGTCCAAAATGGCTGCTAGAACATTGGAACAGTTTAAGCTTTAAACTTTAAGGTCGCCGTGACTGATGCTGCAGATGCATAGAGTCTAATAGAGTGAGGGCTGACATATTGTAGGGGTTTTGCCAAAGAAAACTATTCTTTCTTGAACGGAGCAATCATCAGCGTAGACATGGGGTGGCAAGCGGTCACTGCTCATCCGTTGGCAAGAAAATGCCCAATGAAGCTCTTTATTTTTGTGACTCCTCCTAATCAGCTTTGCGCATCAGGGGCCAGACTTTAAGCATTGACATAGTCTCTCTGCTCCTGCCTGATGGTCGGATTGCCGAGGAGAGAAAGGAACTGACACGTCACTATTCCACGTGCCAGCCTTGGATGAATATTATGATGATATGTCTCCTGGCTGGGATGTTCTGGTGGATGCATAGAGGAAATAACAAACGGGAATTATTGATCTGATGATCTATTCATTGAATCCAAGGAATACTCTTTTTCATATTCGGTCCTCTGGACCAGTCTCCAGCTATGCCTACCAAAGACTGCGGTTGTTGCAGACAAAGTTCGAGCTGTACACAATGGACCTTGGTACGCATTTGCATTTGCTGTTTCACAAATTCAGCATTAGGCTTTTTCTTGGTCACAACTTGCAGCATAAGTTCGTTGACTCCAAAGGTCTTTGGAGATCAAGAAGCACAGGATGCTATGGATACTGGCCATCGTGCCCCCCTCCTGCAATGGCCGATCGTGACAAAGATCGTGTGCTTATTTCCCAGTAGTTGCCAGTTGCCAGTGGCTTTTGCTTAATTTATCTCGGAAGTGTTTTCCTTTCCTGATTATTTAGAACATATAATGAGTTGGCATGTTGATTCATATTGCTCATTTCACTCGAAGGGGAGCTCCAGGGTTGCAAAGTGACTTTTAACGAAAGAGCAAGAGGACTCTTAGGCCAGACTCAACGATGCTTGAGGCATCTCCGAAGGCATGTCCTGTTAAAATTTAAACGTGCCTTATTCTTGTTCAACACCCAAAGCAATCAAGGACTTCTACAATGTGCGGAAAGTGGACACGCACATCCACCATTCAGCAGCCAGCCGGACTGCACACAAGCAGATTTCCCATGCTTTTGCTTGAACTGTCGAAGGGCTTCCTGTGTACATCTGTGTACTATTGCTTCCTTGGTGAGGCGATGAACGCAAAGCATTTGCTTCGCTTCATGAAGAAGAAGCTGAAGCGCTTCTCTGAAGACATTGTTGACGCATCTCGGAAGAGAAGGGTGGGTTTTGAAACCCACAGTGCATGCGATCACTGTATGCGATATAACTGTATGTTGTCAGCTTCCACTTTGCAAGCTGCGACAGACCATGACGAACTATGTCTCCTTTACGAATTTGACTGATATGCTATGATATGTCACACGATGCCTCTTTGGGGGACCTGAAAGGGGCTCCAACTATAAACATACTGTGTTGGAACATGGCCCTCAACTGCCCCGTGGCCGTTTGCGTGACTGAATTCGGCTCTCGACTCTGGACTCGTGGCCCCTTAGGAGAAGGATGGATGCAAGCGGACGCTGAAACGGGTTTTCGATGAAGCACGTCCGCGATCGATCCAGTTTGGACAATTTTGAGCAACCAAAAACAGAAGATGGGACTTACAGCACGCGGGAAAAAGCCTGCCATGTGTATTTTGATGGTGTTCAATGATAGCATCAAGCCTGCCTTTATTTGGAGCCAAGGATGCAGGCATTGCCTGGACAGATCTTTGTATAGACCGGCTGCAAGTTTGGGCCGATAAGAGCTGTTTACATCGCTTCGATCGCTTCAATAACAAGCATCTGGGATGGCAATGCCAAATGCTCAGATGTGGGACAAAGCCCAATCAATCCGTTGACACGATCTACATCTGATACTTTTTTGACATTGAATCGACACATTCAGAGTGTGATTAAGCGACAAGATAATAGCTTTGGGCAGATTTGGATGCATTTGCAATTGCCTGGGTTCGCTCTTTGCCCCATGCATGTTTTCCTTCCCTTTGATGGTGATTCTAAGCAAAGGAACACTTCCTGTGTAACGCAGACTTGCCCTAGGTATTCACCGATGGGGCAGAATGAGCTGCGCGCCATTTTTTTGAAGACAGCCGCCTGGAAGTCTGGGCTCGCGGGCCTGTGTTTACTCTTGGAGTGGAGGGAACGCTAGAAAGTCACTGGCCTTTTTGCTCTTGGAGTTTGCAAGCATCTTGCGTGGGCCACAACATGGCGAGTTGATGCGGTGTTTTTCAGAGTTCCATTCAGCTCAGGACAATGCGATGGGTGGGAGATATTTAGCGGAACTCTCAAGAGAAGCTCGGCTCAGATGCGTTTGGGCTTTGGACATTTGTAAGAGCCATTAACGGTGGGAACCCTGGGCTTGCCACTTGCTGATCTCCGAACGAGGAGTTGATCTCCGACTTAGAGGAGTCCAAATATCAGCATGCCGAGTGGCGACTTTCCATCTACGGACGTAGCGTGTCTGAGTCAATACACACTGTCGAACGATTTGCTGTAGTGCAAGCCACCGCAGACTGAATTCTAGGCAAGAACGTTCCTTTCGAAGGACATGTATTTTGTCCTGGAGTTTTTAATTTATCTCTTTGAGCTCCTAGATCACACAAGTTTGGTTTTCTTTCACAGTCATTCTTCGCTTTGCATCATTGCACCATGCTTCTGAGGCAAGAAGTCGGAATGGGAGAGTCTCAGCAAGTGGGTTCTTGGACGTGGATCCAAAGGCCATCATGGTCATGATGTCCATGTCTGTGTTGCTCTTATCTATCTATCTATCTATCTACCTATCTATCTATCTACCTACCTACCTATCTATCTATCTATCTATCTATCTATCTAATGTGTATCTATGTTATATTATCAATATCATTCTATCAGTCTATAACATATCATGGTGTTTGACATGTATGATAGATATAGAATGATAGATAATCCATATTTATCCATATCATTCTAGATATCGATATTCTTATCTGATAAATAGCAATTCTCTCTCTCTATATATTATATTTATCTATAATATTTATTTGTTTTTAATCTCGTTTGGGATTGAGACATGGAGACTCATCAGACTCTGAGTATCTCTGAACACGACAGGCGACGGCAAACCTCTGCTGTCGCCCAACATCCGGTGGATGATTCAGATCCCACGGCTGTTTGCCTTGTAACATAGCAGCAACTGCAAGCATGTTACTAGGGGCTCCTGGCCTTACTACTACTAGGGCAGCAGCTGCATGGTTCTTCAGACAGAGAATGTGCCACGACGTCATCATACATCATCCCTAACCAGACCAAGAGAGAACTGTCAAACCCGATTGATTGCTTCTCACGCGCTCTTGCCACCTTGAGCTTGCATGAGGTACAAAACCACTGGCCAGCTCAACCATTTCGGTAAGATGCTTGAAAATATTTTCACACCTCTTTTTGACCTGGACTTAGCATTTGTGGTTTTTGAAGTGTTGACAGTAGTCTCCCAGACTTGCCTAACGACTGTAAGGAAGCTACACTTTTCCCAGAGAAGTTCTCAGACATCGCGGAGTTTCTCGAACACATCAGCGGCCGCAGCCTCACTGGGCACAGTCTTCTTGCACGATTATATACTCGATCATGATATTGTTTGGCTGAGTTCCAGGCTTCGACACAGTGGATGATGAGAGCAAGTCGGAAAAGCCTGTCGACCGGACCTTTTCCTCCA